CGGGCCGGGCACGAGTCGAAGACGGGCCGGCAGCGTAGCGAACCCGGGGCTGACTAGGGACGGGCGGGAGGGACCAGTGAGCGGTCGCGACAGGGGCGCGAGGGGTCGGCTAGGAGCGGGCACGAACGGCCAGGAGGCCGGCTAGGAGGGGGGGCGCGACGGCCAGGGGGGCCAGCTAGGAGCGGGCGCGACCGGCCAGGAGGCCGGCTAGGAGGGGCGCGACGGCTAGGGGGCCGGCTAGGGGGGGGGGGGGGGGCGACGGCCAGGGGGCTAGCTAGGAGTGAGCGCGACGGCCAGGGGGCCGGCTAGGGGCGAGCGCGACGGCCAGGGGGCCGGCTAGGGGCGGGCGCGACGGCCAGGGGGCCGGCTAGGGGCGGGCGCGTCAGCCAGGGGGCCAGCTAGGAGCGGGTGCGAACGGCGAGGGGGCCGGCTAGGGGCGGGCGCGAACGGCCAGGGGGCCGGCTAGGGGCGGGCGCGAACGGCCAGGGGGCCGGCTAGGAGCGGGCGCGACGGCCAGGGGGGGGCCGGCTAGGGGCGGGCGCGAACGGCCTGGGGGACGGGTAGGGGCGGGCGCGAATGGCCAAGGGGGGCCGGCTAGGAGCGGGCGCGACGGCCAGCGGGCCCGGCTAGGAGCAGGCACGACGGCCAGGGGGCCGGCTTGGGGCAAGCGCAAACGGCCAGGGGGCCGGCTAGGGGCGGGCTCGAACGGCCAGGGGGGCGGCTAGGAGCGGGCGCGAAACGGCCAGGGCGGGCCGGCTAGGAGCGGGGCACGAGGGCGGCTAAGGCCTAGGGAGGAAGCGCGGGCGGGCGAGAGGAACCTAACCTACTCATTATACCATATCAGAAAGAGAGAATGACTAGAATAGGAAGATACAAGGCAATATAGACTAGGGTGTTGCACCCTCTAAGGCACAAACCTGTATAGTCTAGAGTAACAACATAAGTTATGTTTGACAGTTTACTCCAGGGTTCTCTTTTGGAAAAAACGTGTCTGAGCAATCAGACACGTTTTGCACACTTTGTCTGATGCGCTTTTCAGGATCAGAGAATTTTGAAAAACTTGTCGATTTTCCAGAGAATTTGAGAATCTTTGTCTGAAAATACAGAGAAATTCTACTACATAGTCTGTTATTGTGTGTGACAATGGAAGATACAGTTTAGCACTTTGATTAAGTTAGTACTACTTGCAAGTTACAAACGAACGAGCATATAGGCAGATGGCCATTCCCTCCCTCCCTACATATACGGTACCTACTCCTCATCATCATCAAATTCCGCCAGCTCCTCCTCTACCTCCTCCTCCACCTCCTCTTCCACCTCTCCTTCCTCCAGCCCATACTCCTCAACCACAGCCATCCCCTTCCACTTCGTGATCTGAGCCTCGAGCTCTGCGATATTCCTTCTCTTCTTTGCCTCGGCCTTACTCTTCTTCTTCCTGGACATTAGGGCAAGAATGGGGGCAATTGCATCCTTGCTAGGCCGCCTTGGCTTGGCGGCCTTCCACATGTCAATGATCTCATCCCACTGCATGTCGTAATCATGCAGGAGGGAGATGCACACAAGGTCGCCCAAGCGGGCATCACAGAGGTTGCCCCAAGACTAGCTCTTAATGACGTTCAGGCGGGAAAATCCCCGCTCGCACTCCACCATGCTCAACGGGAGCATGGCGGTTGCCACCCAAATCTTAACAAGATTGGGATAGGCATCTTCCCAGTCGCGTGTCCCCAACATGTGCCGCAGGCTGGCGTGGTACGCCATCTCCCCGTGATGCGCGTCCATGATGTTAACGAATGAGGCCAGCTCTGCCTTGGCGCGCTTCCAGCTAACACCTGGGAGGGGGAGGGGGGGGGTACATTGCGAGGGGAGGGAACCAGCAAAGTGTGAGTGTAACACATGGCATCGCACTCAGAAAACAGGCACACTAAGTAAACATTAGAAGGGTTATCCAGAAAATCACTTGGAAAAGTATGTTGGTCTAGAGAACTTACCAGGCAGGGGCTTGTTGTTGAATAACTTTTTCAGAAGCGCCAGCCACTCAAGCGCTTTCTTCTCGCGGTCCGATCGCGCAGTGGGATAGGCACTTGAGAGAAAAGGCTTGGTTCCTCCGAGCTGCTGCAAGTCGCTGAACCTTGACTCGATGCAGTCGATCGTCTCTTGGGCCATGGCACGGCACAACACGATGCAAGACTTCTTGTCGCTCTTGAACTCCGAGTCCGAAATCGACTTCGTGTGAAGGATGTACTCGTGGCGGACCGGCTTGCCATCCTTCGCCTCCCCCTCGACGACCACACGACCTTATGCTCATGGGATGTCAAGAACTTGAGCAGGTGCTTGCTTCTGGGGCCGCCAAAAGAAGAGTCGCAGTTGATGTACCGTACGCGAATCACCTCGGTGGTGCTCTGCACCATGCTTCCCACCCTGGTGATGTCGACCTGCAAGTAGCACGAGAAAATCACATAGCCAAGGCATGTTTAGCCCAGCATAGAACGTGCATGTGCGCGATCGAAAGTATGTGCGCGATCTGAAGCATTAGCGTATACGTTACCTGGCGACGCTGAAACTTCTTGTTAAGCCGGTTGAGCTCTGTCAGCAGGTCGGCGAGGAAGAAGAGGCAGAAGTGGAATTTATAGCCCCTTGCAACCTCGTATGAATCCCGGTCGTACTCGTGCAGCAGCAGGATGGCGGCGGGAAGAACTGCGACCAAGCAGAGTATTGTCTCGGCGCGTGAAAGCCAGCGGATGGCGAAGATAGACTGCATCTCCAGGAAGGTCTTCATCAGGATCTCCTGCAACTCTCTGAAGCGGTCGTGCCATACTGAGGAGCGTCCCAAAATCTCGGCCAGCATCCTGATGATGTCGTCGATCATGTTGAAGTCGGGAAACTTCTTGGCAGCGTCCTTAGCTGCCAAAGCCTCCCTACTCAAACACGGAACATCATACATCAAAACCACGAAACATAAATCAGAACTAGTCGATGAAGTCGGGAAACCTGCCAAGGAAGTGGTGCTGCACTACGCCTCACCTGTGAGCAATGCAGTGAGCAGAGACGAGGTGCGGCACGAGCTGCCGAAGGCTGGCGACCAGACCTTGTCGATCCCCCCTCATGACGCTGGCCCCATCCGTACTGATGCCTGAAACCTTATTGATGTCGACACCTGCCGATTCGAGATGGGTCTGCAAAACGGCTAAGAGGGATCCAGAATCGCACTTATGCACAGTGAGTAAGGCAAAGAACTCAGTGACAACCCTGTCGTTCTTCACGAATGTCACGTAGACAATTAAGTGCTTGCCGCGCCGTCGATCGGTACTTTCGTTGACGCTGAGACTGATGAAATGACTCTTATGGATATGCTCGAGTTGCTTCTACCGAAGGTAATTCGCCGTCGCCTCTGTCAACTGCCTGAATCCGTACCTGCAACACATGGCAAGCAACGAGAAGCATTAGACGACTCTAGCCGTTCGAACAATGGGAGATTTGCGAAATCCAAAAAACTTACTCTGTGTGGTAGGTGCCGTAGTTGCTCTCGCCCAAGTCCGGCGTACCCTGCGAGGCCATGAAGTTCACCAGAGAAACATACATCAAGATCGGTACGTCAGTTCTGCAGATGAATAACATCGCCATCAACAACCGAATGATACGTCTGCCTTCGACGTTGCCATTCGATAAATCCTCGATGCGCTTCTGCTTCGTCTCGGCCCTCTCCTTAGCCTCATTTTTCTCGACAGCGGCCTGGTGCTTCTTGGTACGCTGGTGCTTGCGCATCGTTTGCACCTGGATGTCTGCTCCGCCCTGTCCGCCTTTGCCGTATTTGCAGTTCTCCGACCGGTGCGCCGTGCAGATGCGGCACTTGATGGACGGGCGACCAAGATCGGTCTTGGTGAGGACGAGCCACGGAAACTTCTTCGACCACTCGGTTTCAAACTTGTGTTTCAACTCTGCCTCACGTGCTTTAGCGACCTTCAGCGGCTCGGCTGCTTCTGCGTCCTCCTCGTCGTCGTCAGCATCATCGTCCTCCATATCTTCTGCGGTAGACGGGCCGGGTGCTGAACTCGGTGCAGAGTCAGGAGCCTTGGATGTGGCGCCCTTGAACCACGGCAGAGAAGCCTGCCGATACTTTCGCTTCTTGGCGGAGGAGCGAGCTGATGCTTCGGCATCGGTTTCCAAGCGGACCGCTGACGATGGTGTGGGCGACTGCGAGGGCTGAGGCAAGGATGGACTGGACGAATGCGCAGGCAACAAAGGAGGGGATGCTAGTGGCACGGGCCATGGCGAGGGCTCGGCTGAGGAAGGCGCAAGCATAGGGTCGATAGCGGCTGGGCGACGGGAGGTATCTGCAGCATGGGTGCGCGACAGCTTTGAACGCAGGAAGTCTAGGCCTCGCATGGGAGGCGGGGATTCGCTACACCCTTCTGGCTGATCGTCGCCGTCAGCCTCGACAACGACAGCCATGTTGGCCCTACTTCGAGAGGGGAATCTAATCCTGAAACAGAACACGAGCAGAAGAACACAACGCACGACAACAACACTAGAATGTAAGAGAAGTGGATGGAAAAAACATGTGGAGACGAAGGGAGCAAGGAGCGGTTGGGGAGGGGGTTTCTTGGTCAAGTGCCATGGCGGCACGGACTGGCAAGTGACAAGACGATGGGCGGGGCGACGCGTCGTGATGGGCGGGATGACGTACAGCGGTGCACGTATGCTGCAGCATGGGGTGAGGCATGGTCTGATCCCCGCTGTGAGCTGCAGACCCAAGTAACGCGCCTCAAAGGCCTCTGACTGGTCTGCTTTTCTGCAATACTGTGAAGTATCCAATCACATGTGCTCTAGCCACATCAGATGTTGCCACAGAAGGCTCGGGAAGGCTCACGTATGCCAAGGATGTGGAGGGGGGACAACATGTGGCGACGCGAAAAAAGGGAATATTCGCATGGGAGCACCTTACACCTGTATGTCTTTGTTTCAGAGAAACTCAAAACACTTGACTAAAAATCAGAGAAACTGGTACACCTAGTCTGAAAATTTCAGAGAAAACTTAAAAGTTTGTCTAGTCCAATCAGAGTTTTTGAAAGCCCCTGTCTAAAAAATCAGAGAAACCCCTAAAAACCAGTCTGAAAATCAGACAATCAGAAAAAAGAAGTCTGCTATTTAGGACCCTGGTTTACTCCTTCCACCAGCTCTCACTTCATTAGCTCAGAATATGACAAACCGGTGAACAGTAGCTCTATGCCTGTCTGCCTGCTATAGCTCATCAGTTTGTGTAACAATAGTTGACCCTTCTGGAACAGTCAGCTCTGCATCTGCATCAGCTTCAGCGACGTTGAAACTTGGATTGACTTGCTGGTTAGCTGCCTCCACCACCTCTGAGGGAACATATTTAAAGAACTTGTCCAATCTTGAGATGGCCGCCTGCACGGTGTAACAGAGGCAGCATGTTGATCAGTGCGAGGGAGGACAACAGACTGAAGAACCAGCATCCCTGAAAATGAGGTCAGCCGAGCAGCGAAGTATAGGCACCTTGATGGATTTGAGGCTGAATGAGAGGAACTCCAGCCTGCACACAAGAGGTGAGGTTGATGCGATGTGAACAGTTGAGGGAATATAGAAGGCAAGATTTCTGCAAGCCTAGACCATAGACGAGGAAGCACGGCTTACTGCTGTGATGTGCTCGGAGCACCCATGTTCTCGAAATAATTACCAAAGTCTGCCTGCAGTCAGTCAGCAGCAGACACAGGAAGTGCAGGACACAGGACACATGTTAGAGACAGGACACAGGGCACAGGACACAGGGCACAGGACACAGGACACAGGACACAGGACACAGGGCACAGCCAGTACAGGTAAATGAGGTAGGCGGGTCCTTTCGGTGTGAACATGGAGGTGTGGGGGGCAAGAGTGTGCATCACAGTGAGGAGGTGTGGGGGGCAAGAGTGTGCATCACAGTGAAGAGGTGTGGGGGGCAAGAGTGTGCATCACAGTGAGGAGGTGTGGGGGGCAAGAGTGTGCATCACAGTGAGGAGGTGTGGGGGGCAAGAGTGTGCATCACAGTGAGGAGGTGTGGGGGGCAAGAGTGTGCATCACAGTGAGGAGGTGTGGGGGGCAAGAGTGTGCATCACAGTGAGGAGGTGTGGGGGGCAAGAGTGTGCATCACAGTGAGGAGGTGTGGGGGGCAAGAGTGTGCATCACAGTGAAGAGGTGTGGGGGGCAAGAGTGTGCATCACAGTGAGGAGGTGTGGGGGGCAAGAGTGTGCATCACAGTGAGGAGGTGTGGGGGGCAAGAGTGTGCATCACAGTGAGGAGGTGTGGGGGGCTAGAGTGTGCATCACAGTGAGGAGGTGTGGGGGTGAGTGTGAGAGCGAGAGGCTGAGCACACCTGTTGCAGATAGTCAATGACCTCAAATGCAAGCTCCTTTGCTGGCTGCTGTGACTTGTCGTCTAGGAGAACAGTGGCGCTGCAGAGGCAGAAGCAGGGGAGGATGGATGGACATGTGGGAAAAGCAGAGGGGGAGGGGGGGGGCTTCGCAAGAGTGATAGGATCTTATTTCAGACGCATGGGGCAACAGACAAAGGTGGAAGTGCATGAGGTAAGGATTAAGGCCACCGACGGGGGGGGAGGCATGCGTACGGGGAAGATGTTCCCTGATATGTTCACAGAGATGTTCACTGATATGTTCACTGATCTGTTCACTGATATGTTCACTGATATGTTCACTGATATGTTCACTGATATGTTCACTGATATGTTCACTGATATGTTCACTGAGACGTTCACTGATATGTTCACTGATATGTTCACTGATATGTTCACTGATATGTTCACTGATATGTTCACTGAGATGTTCACTGATATGTTCATTGATATGTTCACTGAGATGTTCACTGATATGTTCACAGAGATGTTCACTGATATGTTCACTGATATGTTCACTGATATGTTCACTGATATGTTCACTGATATGTTCACTGATATGTTCACTGAGATGTTCACTGATATGTTCACTGATATGTTCACTGATATGTTCACTGATATGTTCACTGATATGTTCACTGAGATGTTCACTGATATGTTCACTGATATGTTCACTGAGATGTTCACTGATATGTTCACTGGGATGATCACTGAGATGTTTTCTGAGATGTTCAGGGTTCCCTACCTGACGAGATTCTCTCGGACGCTGTCAACAGTGCCCACTGCAAAGCGCAGCTGCGAGCGCAGCGCCACAACATCTGCCACAGGCGCACCACGGCAGCGTCAGTGAGGCGGGAATTTACGGTGCACTGGCTACAGAAAGTCAGGGGGGAAGTTCGGTTTGGAGGTGGAAAAGTGGCACGGACATCGATAGCAGGGTCGGAAGGAAATCCAAGGCAGTGCTTCAGAGCAAGCTGATATTTGGCCCGGTCTGCAACACGATGGCTATGTGTTTCAGAAGAAGTGCTCACCGAGCGAGTCTGCCTGTGATACGATCGCCTGGAGAGCCAATTGCAGGCGGACAAGTGGCACGACGTAGAAGAAGAGAGGCTTGGTGGGAGGGGCCACTGTGAGTGGGATGTCGTACTGGGGGGTAGGGGGGGCAGAGAGACAGGAGACGCGAGGGCCAGTACATAAGGACACGAGGCGCTATACGGGAATGGGACGGGCCACTGTGAGTGGGATGTCGTGCTGGGGGGTAGGCGGGGCAGAGAGACGAGGAGGGGCAGAGATATAGAGCAGCCGTTGATGAGCAAATGCAAGGGGTAGGGGGACAGAGTGGAATGAGGGATGGTTTTGGAAGCAAACAGACCATACCAGAGCGACGGGAAGTGCCAACACAGCAAGGCCAGCACCAATGAGCAGCCGCCTTGTGACAACGCCGTCTGAGTCCTTCCCTCCGCCCGCGCCCTCCCCCTCCTCCCCCTCCTGCGCACTCAGTAGCTCCGTCTCAGTGAATCCCCACGACCGCACGGCCCCCTTCTTGCCATCCTTGCCTGCAGGTGAGCGGCACGCAACAGAAAGAAAGGTTAACAAGAGCTCGGAGGCGCTAGAGAGAGCGGTGGGAGCGAGAATGACGCAAGGGTTTAGGTTGATGTCTCTGTGAACCCCCACGACCGCACCATGCCCGTCTTGCCATCCTTCCCTGCAGGTTGATGGTCAGGAGGGCGCGAGTTGGAGGGGGCGTCAAGAACGACTCAGCGGAATGTGAGGGAGAGGGGCGTAGGAAGGAGACGCACAGAGATTGAAGTCGAGGAGGGAGGGTAAGCTAGGAGAAAGAGGGGAGAAAGGGGGTCGAGGCCAGCTAGAGGCAAGCTAGGCGCAGGAGCCAGCGACTGGGATTGATTGGGAAGGAGAGGACGGAGTGCTGGAAAGAAAGGAACAACGGGGTTGGTGGATTGTTCAATTCTGAAGTACCCGTGACAATGGATCCAGAGATATTGGTTTCACACGCGCCAGTGCCGTCAGTGCATGCTACAGGACGCACAGGTGGCGAGCGAGAGAGGGGCACAACGGAATTACCAGTAACAACAGGGCCTTGGAAGATGGTCTCCCGTGCGCCCGTGCCATCGATGTACACGTCGCTGTTGGGCTTCATGCGGATCAGGTTGCCCGCCTTCTCCAGCCGCCGCTGCTCCAACTCCAGCCGCAGCGCCGCCGCCTCCGCCTCCGCCGCTGCTAGCTGGCGAAGCGAGCAGGAAATAATGGGGATAATGGGGGGAGCGAGGTACATGGGGATAATGGGGGAGAGAGATGCGTGCGGAGAATGCGAGACGGAGGAGGAAGCCGTCGGGGAGAGGAGGAAGGAGGAAACGATAGGAGCATTGACAGGGCGAACAGGAGTGCATTGCAGAGTATTTCCATGGCAGGGAGGCAACCGGGAGTCAGGAAAAGGTGTTTGCGAAGTGGGAAACTGGAGGCGTCTCACCTTTGCTGCCAGCTCTTCTTTCTCCGTATCCGTCTGTTGTTGCTGCTCCGTTTCTTGTGGCGTGACTGACGCCTGAAAAGCGGGAAATAAAAGGAGGGTGAATGCAATGTCACCGCACTCTATGATAAGCATCACGATGCGCACTATTTGCACGTATTGTTTGGCCCTAAAACAGTGTCGATAAGAATCATAATGTTCATCGCACTGCTGACTTGTTCGTTTTTGGCGGCTATTCGACCTCGTGAGTTTGCTCATTTTGCTCTGAGTAGTTTTCGTCTACGCGTATTCATGCTGTTACCTCATCGTTCGGCCCTGCTCGCACCGCCAGCCGCCGACATCTGGCGGCCGATCGCTCTACTACGCCACGTCGCCCAGCGACGAATCCGGAGCAACTATTGGAATTCCATCGAGCAATTCTACCGCTCCTGCATCCCTGGCAAGACACCGGAGCCATTTGCACGCGAGCAGGCGAGACGAGTCCCAGCATGGTTGGAAATGCGCTGGCAGATCAAACCTAGATTATGGATTTTGATTAGACTTGTTGGAGGTGTGTCAGAAATAGGAGCTGAGCAGGAAGCAGCTGCATTTGCAAGCAGGGAAAGGAATGCGCAGTACGTTTCTGTTTTGGAGTTGGAGATTCATTTGCTGTTGCTGGCTCCTGGAAAATGACTTGGGGAATGCCAGCAGTATCTTTGTGGGCTACTTGTCTACGTGGCTCAACAGAAGCCTCTCCTAGGCGACACGTGTATAGAATGTTGTGTAACCTGTTGTGGTGCAAAATCCGCGTCATTCATGCTCCTCGATATAGCCCGACGGATGTCGTGCAGAGAATCCCAAATGCTGAAGTACATCCCTTACGGCAGACGTACAAACGGAAATGTTTTCCTAGCGGGTTCTTCTGCCTAAATTCAAGAATTCAAGAAAACAAATATTCAAAAGCTCGAGCTGGGCGCGAATCTATCCTATTGGGGCGCGAAGCTCTCCTATTGGTTCGCAAGGCTGAGCCTGGTCAACCATTTGAACACCCAAACGCTAGCCGCACAAGCAAGCTCAACGAGCTTCCCCCGTTGCTGCTGCCGCTTCGGACAGCATCAGACCGAAATGATGCACCTGCGCTGATTTCGAAGGCATGGCATGGCATGACATGTCGAAGCCATCATGGGGGATGGGTCGATCGCCTGAAACCATCCCGCGCAGATTTTATTCCGAAGCCACTGGATGTGCAGTGGAGAATAGGGGTACAGGGGGGAGTGGGAGTGGGGGTGGGGGAGGGAGGGGGAGAGGAGGGGGGTAGGGAGTGGGGCTTGGGGGGTATGCATGGAATAGGAATGGATGTTGCTGCTGTGAATGGAGATCCCTGATTGGCTGCCTTGATGCTGCGCTGGTGGCAAGTGCCATCTAGTCATCGACTCTAGTGGACAAACTGAAGTCGCTTTCCTGCCAGTTGGTTGGTGGCGTGGCAGCAAAGGCTGTTCGTCCAGGCTGTTCACCAAACTTCAGGACCCACTGAGGGCCCCAGAAAGTCGTCGCAGACGTCGCATAGGTCGCAAAACCTACATTATTTGCAGCTGCTTGGCTTCGTGCAGCCGCCAGGGGTTACATTATTCTTCGCTGGTGAATTCGCCGGCCATTGCGACCCGCCACACCCGCCTTTCACCCATCCTTCTAACCTATGGCGGATGGACAGGCTGACCGCCGCACTACACTGGCAGCATCTAGGTTAGGCACATGGCAGCAGTGACGGACTGACTGCTTGCGGTCAGTCATGTACGGTACAGTGCAGCACGGGGCTTCCCTTGCTTCGCCTCACCGTGCCTTGTTCCCTGGCCGCTCTTGACGGAACGAACATTTTCCACTTTTCCTCCCACTCGCCTCGCCGCTCGCTCCCTCTTTTCCAACCTGCCATTCCCCGCTCCCGCAAGAAACGCGTTGGGGGAGACGTCCGCTTGAAGGAAGCTCTCCTGCTGCCACTCCCCGCATAACCCCGCTGATAGTGCAACAGCACCGTTCTTGGATGGCCGAACCTCAAGGTCCCTGGTTCAGCCATTAATTTTTTCCAGCTAGGGTTGTTGGAGCATATGGGAAGCGAGGCTCACACGGCTTTCAGAAGCCCTGCAGCAGATACAAACTCCCTGCTGGGGCTTTCTTGCTCTCAAACCCGTACTCCAGCTAATTCGACGGATGCTGATCTTGCTCTGGAGCGCCGTCTTATTTCAGGCCAATCCACCAACAGCAGCACGCTTAGGCTCAATAATCAAAATCCAGCCGGTTATATCCTGAATGCGACATTATATCGGCGCGCTGTAAGCTGTCTGCCCAGTACTGGCGACGTGTCGTTGTCCCCTGGTGCTCGGCGGCTAGCGGATTTATTCCTAGCGTCCATTCTTAAACGTACCTCCGCGCGAACGAGGGGGTGGCGTGCGAGTCTTGGCCAGCGGAAGAGCAGTCGAGCAGATCAGCTTCGGCCTTACCGGTCTAAGGCCGGTGTTAAGGGGATTAGGAAGACGGTCGACGCATCTCGGACGGAGTCTCGGGCTCGCGCCGACGGGAAACGTTCGGTCAGCTTCACTGAAACGAAGTCAGTTCTTCAAACGCTTTCTCCGTCTGTTTTCGGGAATATTGATTCTAGCGTCTCGGCTGACGCCGCCATCGCTGTCGCCGTCGCTCGAGCAGCAATGGCTCCCGCGTTTAGAGTGACGGAAGGTTCGGCGAATGGCCCTTCGGAACCTCGCGCGGCTGGAGCTAAGGCTAATGCCTCCGGCAGGCCGGCGATGGTGGAAGCCGTGAGCAGTGCGAGCGGTTGCGGTTCTGATAGACTCCAAGCGTCTGCTCCTGTTGCTGCCGTTTCCTCGGATATGGTCGAGTCGGCCTCGCAAGAATCACAGACAGCCAGGGTAGGTTTGCAGCTTCGCTCATGCCATTCGCGTTTCGGTGCTCCTGTCTCTTCCGTTTCCCGTGCGGTGCTTCCCGGGTTAGCGTCTTCTCGCTGCATCCTAATAGTGCGGAGTACATTCTTGGGACCTCCGTCGTTCTTAGTTTCTTCTTCCTATATCTGTTCTCTGGGCCACTCTCGGTGTGCAGACTCCATTCATAAACGACCCGTGTCATGCGCGGATAAACGCCGATCTGGCTGCGTGTGACGTGGCCGCGAGAGTGGTGGCGCATGCTGACGTGGCAGCTGAGCTGGATGGGAATGGACACACCCACGAGCACGCCCGATGCTCGCCTGTGCTTCGTCGCAAACCGATGGACGTGCCTTCGAAGAAGGTTCGCCAGCTCTTTGCCTCGGGAGAGGATAAGGGCGCGGGATTGGACGACGGGGAGGAAGACGGCGCAAGGGGGACTTGGACCGAGTCCTTAGAGCCTGAAAGCCAGTTCTCTGATATGAATGTGCTTATGACGAGCGGTAGCGACGGAATGACGCTCGATTCGTTGATTGGGGGTGACGCCCTAGAGGTGAAGGGAAGTGGGAAGGAAGAGGGGAGTGAGGAGGCAACAGAGGAGTTTTTGGAAGAGATTGAGTTTGAGATTGAGGAAGAGGAGGTGGAGGAAGAGGAGGACGCCGAAGATAAGGGTAAAGGGAAGGTGGAGGAAAGTGACAGTGATGAGGACGATGACGATGACGATGATGAGAGTGAGGATGAGGAGGGGGCGGAGGAAGATGATGAGGAGAATAGAGATGAGGGGGAAGAGGAAGAGGAGATGGAGGATGAGGGGGAGAGGCTGGAGGACGGTTATCAGATAGTTCTGAAGGTTGGTCAGGTGATGCTGCCGTGCAAGGTTAGGTACGACAACGAGGAGATCGTCCAGATAGTGAAGGCAGTGGACGATTCGGAGATAGTAGAGGTGGTGGATGACGTGGCAGATAACGATAACGTGTCACTTCTTGACGTGGACAAGCGCGCGGACTGCCAAGGGCACGTGCGAACCTACACGTCCCTTCCTGTGTCGAAAGACAATCCGCCACGTGTCCTCTCCCTTTCCATGGACGACTCCTGTCCTCCGTCTCCCTCCTCGCCCACATCCCCCCTCCCCCCCATCTCCCACTCTCCGCCTCCCTCCGAATCCCTAGAGCAAGAGCTCGCATTCCCAACCATCCCCACCGCTCCCTCCCCACCCCCTCCTATGAGCATTCTCAAACCCTCGTTTGTGGAACGCAGTAGTAACGCATCCGCAGCATGCGGAGCCAGTGTTGACCTCAAGGGAGACTTGAGTCGGAAGCGTCAGCGGGATGGCAGTCAGAGGGACAGTGCGGATGGGGAGAGGAAGGGGACGCAGGGGGGGGTGTGTGCGGAGTCGAGGGGGTTGCGCCCTACAGCACGGGAGCGCGTGCAGAGGCAAATGGCGGCCGCAGAGGCAGCAGTGAAAATGCTGGCGGACAGATGCAAGGTGAGTCGCTGTGGCGTGGAAAGGAAGAGGTGGAAGAGGGGGGAAGAGGGTGGGGGGGGGGAGGGGGGAGAGGAGGGGGGATGGGCGGGAGTGGGGTTTTGGGATGGCAGGAGGAGGGGGAAATGGTGGGGTTGCACATTTGTGTGGTGGCGGAATGTGGGATCTTGGTACCTGGAAAGTTTTATACTCTAATCATTTTTGCTGTGTGTGCATGTGTGTGTGAATGCTTGAACTCTAAATTGCAGGTGGATCTTGGAAATGCTGGATCATGCTCCTTGGCTGCTGATGCCATGCACCAGATGGAGCTGCTCCGCCAAGCAGTCTCAGACGTTACTAAGGTATTTATCTTTTCACGATTTTGAATGACGTGAGGTTCAGAAGGCAGCAAATTAGCAACATGGTTTGACCTCCCTCTCAAGTTGCCTCTGCTTTCTCCGTCCATTATTCACCCTCGTATTCTTTGCCGCTGGTTGTTTCTGCCTGTTCCCCTCAGCCACGCAAGCGGGTTCGATTTGCTGATGAGCTTGGCAAGGAGCTGAACCTTGTTCGCTTCATTCCACCAAGAACGTGATTTTTTTTTAGCAGCTGACCATTTCTCTGCACCTGGCTAGGTGTCCCAGATTTGCATTTCTGCGAGGTGCTCTTGTGGCCTAGATTGGTTCCTCTGCTTGTGAATGCATGTCCCATAGCTGTCTGCTAGATCTTGACATGATTGCTTGCAACCAATTATTGTGATATTTCATTTGATAAATAAAACAAAAGTCTTGCAATGAACGACGAAGCGTGATTTACACGGCAACACACCGATATTGTCGCACTCCGCATGGTGCAATCTAGCTCAATCGCCACCGAACCAAACCACACGTCCGCACCAGATGGCAGATTTTTCTAGCCACTATTGCGCGAAACGACGGGCTCGATGTAACTCCGTCGCGAATGTCGCGCTGGACCTCCTTGTCGCAAAGTGACAATATCGGTGCACCAGTCTGCTGAACTGCTGCCTACCTCCCAGTCGGCCTATTTGCTGCTTCCACTCCCCTCCCCTTTCACTGCAGCAATTCCTTCCAGTAATCAGTGATTTCACCAAACCTTGCTCCTTCGCCAAATCGTATTCTCTAGCTTCTGGTTAGCCAGTTTCCGCACACTTTGCTACCGACTCGTCTGGTAACACTGATTCCGGGCGATACTTTCCATGGTGCACTGACTGCCAGTCCCCTACGGCGTCGGCCTCACGTAACGGATAGCCGTACCTGATAGACCTTCGACCATGGATGCCAACCGCTCGCAGCAGCGCGCACCGCAAGCGTCCGTCACGGACCCGTTCTTCGACCTGCTTCAGCCGTCCGCTGCAGCCTCTAACCCCGCACCTTCCACTACCGCGTCGTCCGCTCTCACCAGCGGCTCTCCGCCGTCTAACGACTCCGCTCTGCCGTTCGTCCGCTCCCTCAGTCCTCCCGCCGAGAAGCCTGGTGACAATATCGGGGTTGGTGCTAACGGAAGTGGCGGCGGTCTTGGTGCTGGCTCTTCTGGCCTTGGGACTAGCTCCGGTGGTGGTGGTGGTGGCGGTGGCTCGTCTTTCGATTTCCTCAATCCTCAGGTGTGTGTTCGCCACTTCCCCCTTACCTTTCTTTGCCTCTCGTTTAGTCTCAGATCCTTGTTATTTTATTATGATCTCAGCCTAGTATATTTCCTAATGCGAGTTTACGAACGTAAAGTTAACTGCTGGCTTCGTCCGATTCGTCCCGCGCTGAAGCTTTGTTACCCCTATTCATTACATCCTATTACCTGTCAGTCGTCCATACTGTTGCATCCATGATGTTTTGCGGTTCTTCCCCGGTTCATTATTTTTTCAGTTCCCGGGTCACTTTCTGTCTCCGTTGCTTCCTTCGCGGTGCTGTCCTCTTCCATAAAATTCTCCAATCTCTGCTGCTCTCCCTCGAATCTCCCTTCTTCTCCCACCCCCGTTCCCCTCTCCGTCCCGCCAACCAGAGACCAGCTCACTCCCAGCCTCATCACCCCTCCCCCCCTCATCCATCCTTCTCCGCTGGGGACGGGGGAATGGGGGGAGCGGGCGCGGGCGGAGGGGGGATGGGAAGCGCTAGCATGAGCGGGGGGGGTGTGGGAAGCGCGAGCATGAGCGGAGGGGGTATGGGAAGCGCGAGCATGGGAGCGGGGGGAGGGGGGATGCGCGCAGCAGCAACGGCGCGCGCGCCAGCGACAGCGGGGGACCTGGCGCAGATAGCGGCGGAGCTGTCGACCAGCATGGAGCGCCTGCTGCATCGGTTCTCAGAGGGGGTCGCGGCGGCGCTGGGTGACGCGAGCAGCAGGGTGCGGCGGGTTGAGGCGGCCGTGGCAGCGCTGCAGGGCGCGGTGGACCGCTCTGCTGGGGATGATGGGGACAGGCATGCGGAGCTGGACACGAGGCTGCGATCTGTGGAAAACGTGTTGCTGGAGGTGAGTGGTTGGTTGGATGGAATGGCCGTTTTCCTGTGTGGTGGCAGCGCTGCAGGGCGCCATGGACCGCCCTGCTGGTGATGACGGGGACAGGCACGCTGAGCTTGACACTCGACTCCGGTCTGTTGAGAACGTGTTACTGGAGGTGAGTGGTTGGTTGGAATGTCTGTTCTCCAGTCCGGTGGCAGATCTGCTGGGGGCCGTGGACCGCCCTGCTGGTGATGATGGGGACAGGCACGCTGAGCTTGACACCAGGCTGCGATGGGTTGAAAACGTGCTGCTATATGTGATTCGTTGCTCCTTGTGTACCTTCCAGATTTTTTATTCTCCTCCGCTCTCTGTGTGTCCTCTATCTCTGCCTGCACCGCCCTCAGGTGCAGCGCAACCTGCAGGTGATGAGGGACAAGCAGGAGCTCGCCGAGGCTCAGGCGGAACTCTCCAAGCTCAAGTTCCTCGCCCTGCCCGCCCCCCCCGCCACCGCTGCTGCTGCTGCTGCCACTGCGGCTCCCCCAGCACCAGCAGCTGCTGCTCCGCCGCCTGCGGTGGTAGAGGCAGCAGCACCAGCACCCTCTGCTGCGTCTGCCCCCCCTGCTCCTGTCCCCTCAGCCCCCCCTGAAGCCTCCGCCCCCCCTCCTCCTTCCCCCAGCCCCTGCCCCACGCCCCTTGCCCCTGTGCCTGCTCCTCCCCCTGCTCAGTACCAGATTGCTGCTGCGCCAGCCCCACCACAGCTGCAGCAGCAGCAGCAGCCACAGCAGCAGCCGCAGCCTCAGCAACAGCCTCAGCAAAGCATGGCTCCTCCTGCTCCAATGTACCCCCAGCAACAGCAGCAGCAGCAGCAGCAGCAGCAGCAGCAGCCTTATGCACCCCCCCCACCGGCTCCTGCTGGTGCCCCACCTCCCTACCCACAGCAGCAAGGTGGATACGGCATGCAGCCTCAGGGGCAGGCGCAGCAGCAGCAGCAACAGCAGTTGTCTCTGCCCCCGCCACCTCAACAGCAGCAGCAGCAGCAGCTGGCGCTGCCACCACCACCACCCCAGCAACAGCAGCAGCAGCAGCCGCCGCCGCAGCAGCAGCCTGGTCCACAGATGTATCAGTCAGCACCCCCAATGCCCCAGCAGGCCCCCGCACCTTACAATCCCCAGCAACCCGCCTCTTCCCCTTCTTCCTCCGCCCCCGCACCCCCCCCATACGGCTCCATGCCCTCCTCACAAGGCATGTATGACCCTGCTGCAGCTGCTGCTGCTGCTGCTGCCGCTGCAGGTGGCATGTACTATCAACAGAACGCCCCTCCTCCCATGTCCCAACCACCGATGCACCCTCAGATGCCCCCTCCCCCAGGAGCACCCATGCAGCCACAGCCTCTGCAGCAGCCCCCCCAGCAACCACCCCAGCAGTACATGCAAGGGCCATCCCCCCACCCCGCTCCCCCACCTGCCTACGGCGCTCCCCCTCCCCCCGCCCACCCCTCCCCCCAGCCCCCAGGCATGTATAGGGTGGCCCAGCCCCCCCCTCCGTCCATCCCCCCTACTGCAGGCCCCGCTAGTGGTTACAGGCGTATTCCTATGGCTCAACCTGTGAGCGGCAGTGGCAGCGGCGGTGGGGGAGGGAGAGGCGGGAGCGGAGGGGGAGGAGGAGGGGGTGGAGGGGGTAGTGGGGGGGACACAGCAAGAGTGCCTTTGGAGAAGGTGGTTGATGACGTGGCAGCTATGGGATTCCCTAGGGATAAGGTGCGCATGGTGGTGCAGCGGCTGATGGAGAGGGGCAAGTCGGTGGACCTCAATGCGGTCATAGATGAGGTGATGAATGGCGGGGGCGGGGGAGGGGGAGCAGGGGGTGGGGGGTGGTATGGGCGGTGAGAGGAGAGATGAAGCATGATGGTAGCTGATGGAGAGGGGCAAGTCGGTGGGCCTGAATGTGGTGATTGATGAGGTGATGAATGGGGGGGCGGGGGCGGGGGCGGGAGGTGGGGGTTGGTACGGCCGGTGAGTGGTGGAGCAAGTGTGAAGGTGGTGGCTGATGGAGAGAGGCGAGTCGGTGGGCCTGAATGTGGTCATAGATGAGGTGCCGCGGGGGTGGGGGTGATGGGGGAAGAGGAGGGGTGGGGGGGGGAAGAGGAGGGGGTGGAGGTTGGTATGGGCGGTGAGGGGTGGGAGTAGATGGTGAGAGGTTGGGCAGACGCAGATGTTGGTGATCGTGCTGGTTGAGTGAGGAAACGTGGTGGTGCAGAGGCTGGTGGAGAGAGGCAAGTTGGTGGATTCAAATGCGGTGATTGATGAGGTGATGTACGGAGGGGATGGGGGATGGGGAGGAGTAAGGGGGGGAGAGGAGGGGGAGGGGGAGGGGGAGAGAGAGGGGGAGGAGGGGGGGGGAGGGGGAGGGTACGGACAGTGAGAGGAGAGGGTGGGCAGAAAGGGGTGGGTGGGGCTGGTGCGCATGGTGGTGCAGATTCTAATGGAGAGAGGCAAGCAGGTGGACCTGGATGCGGTGATTGATGAGGTGATGAACGAAGGGGGCGGGGGTGGAGGAGGGGGCGGGGGTGGGGGCGGGGGAGGGGGCGGGGGAGGGTGGTTCGCGGCGAGAGGTGGGTGGGAGTGATGAGATGAGTGAGTCAGATCAGATGGTGACAAGTGTATGGATGGAGGGGGGGGGGGGTGGCAGCATGGCATGCTGGTGAGGAGTAGGAGGGGTTTGAGGGGAGCAGCAGCGAGGACAGGGTTTGCAGTATGTGGTGTGCGTGATGGCGAGGGGAATACTTGTGGATAGGATGATGCATTGAGAGAGACACAGTGAAGTGACATGACATGGTTGTGGTGAGAGCGAGATTGGGCACGGGTACGTTTTTTGGAATCAAGACTACCAGTTGAAATTTATGTTATATTCACCAAGGCAGAGGTGTGACTGTTTATTGGCCTACAGTTTTTGTACCTATCAGGATGAAGCATCCTGATTGATCTGTTAGCATCATACCTCATGATTTACACATGATTGCTCGCGGTTACCTAGGCATCAGGTCAGGCTATCTACCGGTACCAGGGATCCCCATTTATAATTCTATACGGTAATAGAGCCAAGCATGACATGGATGGACCGAGCAGGGAGGAAGTGCCTCAAGGACTTGAGCGTTTCTGAAGTGTAATACTACACTCGAGTAAAGCCGTATCGGGTACGCGAGTCAACGGAGGTTACACGAGGAGGTTGGACGAAAGAACACGAAAGGACGAAAGACTTGAAGGGTCGCAACCGGAGGTTGCGACTGACCGTTACAACTGCAATGGTGGTAACCGAACCGACTATCAAGTCGCTGTGCGACTCGATAACCGTTCCTTCAACCGTATTCCACAACTGCTTTACCTTCCTGTTTTTATATATATTACTGTATGCTTGTTTTCTTCTAATCAATCACTTGCTCTCACATACTAGTGCAAGGGTTCAACTACTCAACTTCCGCTGCACTACTCAAGTATCTTGTACAACTGGGACTTAGTCTCTGAAAAGATCCTAAGGGCTTTTCTCAGCCCAACATGGTATGAGAGCTGGTCAGAGATCAAACTCCCAGCAACAAAGCTCTATCTACAGTTAACACATCAACAAGCTTTATCAATTATAAGTCATGGACAACAAGGGCAAGAAGATCTCCACGGGCTCACCCAGCGCCCAAGACACTCAACCCGGCAACTCTGGACTACGCACTTCAGAACTGCAAACCGAGACCGGCGCTGCTCAAGAAACAACAGGAAGGGCACCGGAAATGGTGACCCCATCACCCTCTTCAAGCGTGGACCCGAACCTCATGGAAAGGTTCTTCAGCTTCATGTCGCACTTCGACCAGCAGCAGCTGACAAGGACACCTGCACATTCAACACAGAGCAACAGATGACACATGGGATTACCACCAATAAACCTCGACAACTCATCGTTCGGGCGACACAATCAAGCGCCTACCTTTGCGCCTTATCACTCTTCACCGGGGACGTTAGAGTTCATGCCGCCCCGTGCCCAACCAACAGCAGCGGCATCACAACAGACACCAAATGAGATATTGAGTCTCCAGGCGCAGTTTTCACACGTGATCAAACTGCAGACATCCTCACCGTTCAACGGACACGACTTTTTTACCTTGAGCTTCGAGTTCGAGCTGCTGATGGAGGCCGCGTATCTCTTGGGATACTTCAACGAGTCCCTGCCATTTCCAAGCAATGGCACTGCAAAGGAGCAGGAAATCTTCACTTATCAGTCGCTGCTGGCGTACACAGTTCTCATGCGGAACCTGTCACCACAAGAACAACAAAGCATCAGAACCTATCGGAGCTATGGAAACTCCGCGGAGCTCGCATGGCATCACCTCAAGTGTCTCTACCCAGCAAATGACAGCGTGACACAAAGCAGACTCATGCAGCAATTGACAACAATACAAATGAAAACCGGGGAAAAGGCGATGCAGTATATGAGTCGCTGCCAGACACTCCGCGACTGCCTGCTTCGGTGCGGAGGTACAATAACCGAAGGAAGCTTCGTGACACTTGTCCTCGCCGGGCTCGGGCCAGAATGGAGAACCACCCGCTCGCTTCTTCGCGCCCATGGACGAATTTCAGAGATGCACCTTTGCGCCGAGCTTCATGCTGAACAACAAGAGATGGACCTGTTTGAAGAAAGACAACCAAGAAACAAGCAGCAACCGTTAGTCTTCTATGCTCAACGAAGAAACGACAACTACAATCGACGTGACAAGCAGAATCGACACGACACCAAAGGACTCACCATCGTGCCGCCGTTCTACCACAACTGTCAGACATCCGGACACTCTAAAGTTAACTGCACACGCCCCCGAGTTTATCGTCCAGTAGACCCACAAGTCGCTTCCACTCAAGAAAGTCCGCCAAGGCGTTCCTCCACATCTGCACAGGGCACACCGAACATCATCAATTGTATGGTACGCATCGTCAACTACGCACCTGGATCACCACCCACTTACGCTCCAGACGAAGAAGAACTGCCGCGCTCACAAGGCCTTCAAGTCAACCCGACGTACGCTGCAGTCGCCAACGCCGAACCCACCGAGCAAAACACCTGGTTCTTGGAAAGCTGTTGCGGTCAACATATGTGTTCTTCCGGGCGCTTCGTGCAACGAGAACGTCGTCTCAACCGCGATGTCATCATCACCGTCGCCAACAACGAGAACCTGAAAACAAACAGACAAGGAGTGGTCCAATTTCAGTCCATGGAGACAAACGTCATTCTGCAACTCAACAAGGTTCTAATCGTCGACAACTTGGGATACAACCTACTAAGCGTCATCCAGCTAATGGCAAAAAGGATTCACCTGGAATGCGACTCGGACTCCAATGAGTTCCGCCTTTACCACGGGAAGGGCAGCCTCTTCATCAGACGTGCTCTCCTGAAGTCGGGTGTCTTTGTGTTGGATTTCGTCCCCGACCGCAGTACTGCCGACAGCGATGGCATCGTGTCATTCGCCGCCTGGACGCACCCGCCGGATCTTGATCCCGACTTCACCCCAGATGGATTCTGGTACTCCAACACCATACCTGCAGCAGAGAGAACGCGAGCGTTAGCAGTCATCCGACAAGAAAGACAAGTACCAGCAAGCGTCCCTTCACCGACATCACCTGCAGTAGCAGCAGCAGGATCCAGCCGTGTACCATCACCAGCAATCCGAGGACCGCCAACCGAAGCAGATCAACTTATGCCCATCACCCGAGAAGTCTGCCGAAGTCCCGCCACGGTCGTCGCGTTCTTCTCCAACGCCGACATGTATCAACGCTCACCCGGCCATCACGCTCGTGACGACATATGGCATCAACGCCTCGGGCATCCTGCAAACAGCACAGTGCTACAAACCATACAAGCCGAAGTGTTAGAAAGAAACGCCCTTCTCACAACGAGCGGCCAAGAACTTCGACGACCCCGCGCCCGATGCTTCACGTGTCCTGAGGCTGACCTTCCCCACCAACCTTTCCCGTCGCACCACAATCCAAGCGCACCTGCATACGCACCGATGGAAAAAGTTTACAGCGACATCTTAAATATGCCTCGAGATGACAGTGAAGCCGACTACAACTATGTCATCACGTTCATTGACGCAGCAACACGATACGTCTGGCACTACAACCTCAAGACGCGTGATCAAGCATTCGAAGCCTTCACGACATGGCTCCCCATCGCCGAACGCGAATCAGGTTCTCAACTCAAGAGCTTTCAGTCAGACGTGGCACTGGAGTACCAGTCACAAAGGTTCAGGAGCTATCTCACAGAAAGGGGCATCAGACGCCTGGTGTTCCTGCCCTACGCTCACCAACAGCAGGGGGTCGCAGAGAGAATGAACCGGACCTTGCAGACGACGATGCGAAAGCTGCTCCTGGGGATGAGACTGCCCAACACACTGTGGCCAGACGCGATGACGCATGCAGTCCACCTGCACAATTTGCTGTCCTCGTCATCACTTTCCAACAACGCATCACCGCACCTGATGTGGACACAAAAAAGGGGCAGCACAAAATTACTTCGAGTCTTCAGCTGCATGGTACAGTACAGACCCCACACAGCTCGAGCAGGATGATTCTCTCAACGAGCACGGTGGGGACTACACCTCGGCATCGCAAAACATTTCCAAGCATGGAAACTCCTCGACATACAAGACAAAAATACCGTGGCCTCACGTGATGTGATTTTCTACGAGCGACTGACGCTGCAGCATTACCTGGACAATATCGCCAACACAGAAGACCCCACCGACGGCCTTGAGGGCCTTCGGTCCTTCGCCGATCGTGTTGCCGAAGCTGACGCAGCAAAAGAAGACGTCTCTGAAGCCTCGGAAACTGCCGGACCACTCCCTTACTGCTCCGTGCCTGTTCCCCTCGACGATGACAATCCTCTCGATAGTAACAACCTCGACACCTATTACCACTTCGCTGACCAAGGTTACGTTACATCCCAACCAGTCGACACGAATGTCTCAGAATGCATCGGACCAAATTTCTTACCTGACCCAGAAGATGGTGACGAAGCAGCCTATCCCGGGAATGAAAATTCCCCTTGACACACACCCACGGGCCTGCAGATCCTTGGACTATGGGTCACCGTCAAGAGCCCGCCGCCGCCGTCTCCGCACGAGCCAACGACTCTGTCGCAGGCTCTGGGGGGGGAACACAAGGCAAAATGGAAGGAAGCAATGGAAAAAGAACTGAAGGCCCTGCAAGACCGAAACACGTGGAAGCTGGTACCCGCAACAAAAACCAACGGGAAAAACGTGCTCTCGGGAAAGTGGGTGTACCGCATCAAGACTAATGCGGACGGCTCCATCGAACGATTCAAGGCTCGCTGGGTCGTATGAGGATTCGATCAGCGATACGGAACCGACTACACAGAGACATTCGCCCCAGTCTCCCGCCACACCTCCTTGCGCATTCTACTCGCCGTCGCGGCCACAAAGAAGCTACCACTACGCCAGATCGACGTCGCAAACGCCTTCCTGTACGCACCTGTGGACGCCGAGATCACCGTCGAGCAGCCCCACGGATTCATCGACAATCCCACAAAAGTGTGCCAGCTGATAAAATCCCTCTACGGGATCAAACAAGCCCCGCGGCTCTGGCAGCAGCATCTTCACGGCCGCCTCGTCAAGATCGGCTTCCTACAGTTGCCGCACGACGACTACAGAAGGTAGGGGGTTTTATCCTACTAATCATCTACGTCGACGACCTGCTCTACATCGGCTCCACTACCGACATGGCCACCTGGTTCGAAGGGGAGTTGAGGAGTGACTTGACACTCACGGTGTCTAACACCGTAACTCAGTACCTGGGCCTGAACTTCGTCGAAGACAAATCGGCGTTCTACCTACACGCCGGAAAGTACGCAGGCGTTGTCGCGAAGAAATTTGGACTAACGCCGATCGTAGTTGCGACTCCCTATCGCTACGGGAACGACAACGGCGGAACCTCCGCAAAACTCCCCGCGAAGCAAATCCAGGAATATCAACAGAAACTCGGCTGTCTACTGTTCGCAGCAGTAACCTGCCGACCGGACCTGTCCTACAGTGCGAGCCAACTAGCGACACACCTGAAGCAGCCGGAGCAAGAGGATCTCGAAGAGTTAAATCGGGCACTACTCTACTTCGTCTCTACGCCGATGACCGGACTTACCTACAGCAAAGTAACACCGTCGTCCGTACGACTACTCGGCTATGTCGACGCCGACCATGCGGGAGATAGGGAAAATCGACGCTCTAGAATGGGCTACATCTACTGACTAGAACCTATCAGGACTATCTCCTGGCAATCGAGCAAGCAGGAATTAATTGCGCTATCTTCGGCTGAAGCGGAATATATCGCCCTCTGCACCGCGACCAAAGAAGGACTTTACTTGCAGGAGCTGCTCGAGGAAGCGAAAATAGCGACCATGCCCGCCTTCTCGTTACTCTGCGACAACCAATCCGCAATCAAAATCGCGAACAAAGATGGGTTCGCCAATTGAACCAAGCACATCGCCCTACGGTATTTCTTCGTCAAGGATGAGATCGCAAAGGGGAGACTTCAACTCAGTTACTGCCCCACAACAGAAATGGCCGCAGACTACCTGACGAAGAAACTGGCGAAGGCAAAGTTCGATTACTGCATGCTGCTGACCGGGCAGATAAACGTCACCGAATCTGGACACGTCAGCACTCCAGAAACGAAGGGGAGTGTTGGAAATACCTCAAGGACTTAAGCATTTCTGAAGTGTAATACTACACTCGAGTAAAGCCGTATCGGGTACGCGAGTCAACGGAGGTTACACGAGGAGGTTGGACAAAAGAACACGAAAGGACGAAAGACTCGAAGGCCGTTACAACTGCAAGGGTGGTAACCGAACCGACTATCGAGTCGCAGTGCGACTCGATAACCGTTCCTTCAACTGTATTCCACAACTGCTTTACCTTCCTGTTTTTATATATATTACTGTATGCTTGTTTTCTTCTAATCAATCACTTGCTCTCACATACTAGTGCAAGGGTTCAACTACTCAACTTCCGCTGCACTACTCAAGTATCTTGTACAACTGGGACTTAGTCTCTGAAAAGATCCTAAGGGCTTTTCTCAGCCCAACAGCTCTGTTAGCATCATACCTCATGATTTACACATGATTGCTCGCGGTTACCTAGGCATCAGGTCAGGCTATCTACCGGTATCAGGGATCCCCATTTATACTTTTATACGGTAATAGAGCCAAGCATGACATGGATGGACCGAGCAGGGAGGAAGTGCCGTAGTCTAGCATGCTACCTACCTTGCATCAAGTTCAGTACCGGTACGGTACTTGGCCCAATTCGCAGCACCAGTCCAGACTGCTGTTTGCCATTGCTAGATGAGAGCACTGCGCCTAAAATTTTACATATGGACACACAGCATGAAGGCCGTACACATACGGCATGCTGCGGGTAAACTACCTACTGGATATGTTGTCCAGGCTGTGCATAGCATGCCATCCCATCCCATCGCATCCTCAAGGACACTGTAAGGGATTAGCCCTTTCACAACCCCCAAGGCTTGTGGGGCTATGAGGAGGGAATGGGCCCAAAAGGCCCCGCTCACAGGGATGGACCGAGGAGGGAGGAAGTGCCGTAGTCTAGCATGCTACCTACCTTGCATCAAGTTCAGTACCGGTACGGTACTTTCCCAATTCGCAGCACCAGACCAGACTGCTGTTTGCCATTGCTAGATGAGAGCACTGCGCCTAAAATTTTACATATGGACACACAGCATGAAGGCCGTACACATACGGCATGCTGCGGGTAATAGAGCCAAGCATGACATGGATGGTGTGAGAGTACGACCCCGTTACACCACTTGGCCTTTTCTTATTTCCTTCGCTTTTCATTTCTCTTTTTACCGCATCTCATTTGGTTTCCTATTCTTCCTTTCCCATTAACCTTTGGTTTATCCTGCTATTATAAGTATATCACCGACCAGGCTTGGGATGTATTGGTGCGCTCTATCTAGCGTAATCCTGCTGTAATCCCTTAAAGCCAATAGCCTCGCGTGGCTATACGCAGGGTGATTCTATCTTCTAGAAGGGTCTATTCCCTTAGGATAAGATAAACCTGGTTACCTGATGTACTCTGGAAGTATAAAAGCGCCTTGTACTGATCGATAGTGCAACCTTTCCTCGACACATTCGATCCTGTGACACTTGGTATCAGAGATTTTCTCACTCGACCGCGCTCAGCTAAGCAGCAGCAGCGGGGATCCTGCCTCGAAAAACCGCCGGGGGCGACCAATTCGACGCCGATTCTGGTAAGCACCAGCTCCGCGATTTTCAAATTACCCCCTCCGTGCGTGTTTTGAACAGGATGGCAACCTTCGACAACGCCGAGGTTACCCAGCAGCTCTTCGCGCGCATCGCAGCCCTTCAGGAGGAAATGCGAGCGGATCGCGAAGCGTGGCGAAACCAGTTCGAGCGAGTAACTCGACTCGCCGGAGCGCAGCACGAGACGACAACGGCGACGACGCAGCAGTCGCAGCAGTTTCTCGAGGCTCCGAAACCGCGCCCACCTGAGCCGTTCGATCCGAGCGATCGAAACTCCGACGCCCGCAGATGGATCGCCGGGATGGAGATCTACTTCGCAGCCGTCGGATGGAGCTCGCCAGTCTGGGACGGTCATCGTGTACGACTCACGGCGACACTGATGCGAGGGCCGGCACTCGAGTGGATTGGCGGCAACAGTACTTTCATCCACGGTGAAGCCACGTGGCAGCAGTTCCGCGCCGACCTGCTGAAACGCTTCGAACCGATAAATTCGAGTTTCCTTGCCTGGGAAAAAATTCATCGACACCGACAGTTCGGGAGTGTAGCGCAGTACACGCAGCAGATGGAGGAATTTTATAACCGCATTCCCGACCTGACCGAAGGGGAAAAAGTACAATCGTACCTCGCCGGGCTGAAGACCGAAGTCAAACGACAAGTCGCAGCGTCAAACTACGCGAGCTACAGTGACGTCGTTTCGGCAGCGGAGCGCTTCGACATGGTCAACGCCGGAGCACGACGGACGCACGTCGGCAGTACGCGACAGGGCGACCGCTCGGCTCACCCCACGTTCGCCGACCCGATGGAAGTCGACAGATTCGAGGGGCGGCCACGTCCAAAAAACACCAACTACACGTGCGATTTTTGCGGGGTGCCGGGCCACCGAATCTTCGACTGCAACAAAATGAAGGCCGCACGCGCAGAGTATCGGGCACGCAACAGTGGCGGAAATCTTTCGGCCAATCAGAAGACAAAAAACGGGAGTCGCCAGTGATTGCGGATCTAGCTGGCGAAAATAAAAAGATCCGAAAACGGCCGCGGGATTCCAGAAAAATCAACTTCGACGAAGCCGATTCGACGCGAGAAGGAGGAAATGATGGGGGAAAATCTCCACCCCACGACCAGTCTTCGCCAGGGAAAATCGCCGAGAAAAAATACGACTCCGCGAAAAAAGACTCTGCCGGGACAGGGAAACTCCTTGAAGACCCAAGAAATTATAAGAATTCGTTAAAGTTATCTTATAAAGATGCTTTAATGAAAACTTATGATGTTCGAGGGGCTAGAGCCTTGGAGAAATTTCGGGAGGGACTCCAAAAGAAGCAGACAGCTGTGGAGATTATACCGGTACCGGACAACTTGGGGACCAAATTAAGGAGTGTGGAAAGAAGCCGACCTTTCCACGGAGTCAACGTCCTCTCCCGACACCAGTCCACATCGACTACCCGTTCCCCAGGGAAGACGTCAGTGGAGCTGAAGCAGCTTAAAAGGAAGCTGGGGGTCTACAAGAAGCTGCAAAAACCCCGAACTCCTTCTACGGATGCATCCAGTTCTTCGGCATCAGTGACGCGCACAGTCGTCAGGGAAACTCCGGGCCCTGGAGAAGAGCCGTTCTCCAAGCAGCCTCGGCCAGCTGCCAGCTCAGGAGTAGACAGCAACACAAAGGTGTGTACGGAATATTGGGATGTACCCTATGACCCAATCAATGAAACTATCTTTGGGTACTCCGAGCAACGACTGCCCCTCGTGCTCGAGGTCATCTGCAAAGGACGACGCCTCCAAGCACTCGTGGACAGCGGAGCGTCACACACCGTCTGCGACAAGGCAATGATCGACCGACTTCGGGAAGAGTACAAGCCTTCAGGATTCTCTGCAACGATGGTGGACGGCAGCAAGTTCCCAGTACACGGCGAAGCAGTGCTACATCTACAAATTGGACCACTGCGCTGGAGACCTGCACTCCCCATCACCAACATCAAAGGGCTTGACTTGATCTTCGGGCGAGACTTCCTGAAAAAAATCAACCCCGAGATCAACTGGGTGAACCGCACCGCAAGCATCTACAACAATGGACGGAGAGTACAGCTACCCAACTGGGACAATACTAGAGATATCCCAATGGAGACACTCGCACGATTCGAGAAGGATGTGAAGCGAACCGACACCAGGTTCCTGGCGATAGCAACAAAGGTGGAGAATGACGGAGAGGAAGCCTCGGAAACTCCAGAAAAAATCAAGGAATTATTAAAGGAGTTCCAAGATATTCTTCCTGACGATCTTCCGAACGAGCTACCGCCATACCGAACGCATCAACACGAGATCGTGGAGGAACCGGGTTCGAAACCGACCTTCCGAGCACCATATCGGCTCAGCCCTACGGAGCTGACTGACATGAAAAAACAGATCGAGTATCTCCTAGCCAAAGGACTCATCCGGCCATCCACTTCGCCGTACGGTGCCCCAGTACTCTTCACACCGAAACCGGACGGAAGCCTGCGCATGTGCATCGACTACCGAGCCCTTAACAAGCAGACCATCAAGAATAAATATCCGATACCGCGAATCGATGACCTGCTTGACCAGCTTCGGGGAGCTACGGTATTTTTCAAACTAGATCTGCGGTCCGGATATTGGCAGATACGGATGGCGGACAACTCTATCCACAAAACTGCTTTTCGAACTCGGTACGGATCGTACGAGTATTTGGTCATGCCATTCGGACTCACCAACGCGCCGGCAACGTTCCAAGCCGAAATGAACCACATTCTACGACCACTTCTGGACGAATGCGTGGTGGTGTACCTGGATGACATACTCATCTACTCGCGCGACATGAAGCAGCACGTCGAACACCTGCGACGCGTCTTCGAAATTCTTCGACGGGAACGATTCTACGTCAAACTGTCCAAGAGCGAATTCGCCCTTAAAAAGGTCCAGTTCCTAGGGCACCTGGTGAGCGCTCAAGGAGTTCACGTCGATCCCAAGAAAATCGAAGCCGTACGTACGTGGAAGACACCCGAGAACGTGAAGGAGTTGCAGCAGTTCCTAGGCTTCGCTAATTACTACAACAGGTTCGTGCCACAGTATGCGAAAATCGCAGCACCACTCACGAATCTGCTGAAGAAGAACACGCCCTACAAATGGGAACCAAAGCACCAGGAAGCCGTGGAGCAGCTGAAACAAGCACTCACGTCCGCACCGGTACTCATCTTGCCAGATCCCGAACGCGACTACGTAATCGAAGCTGACGCCAGCGACCAGGCAGTGGGAGCAGTCTTAATGCAAGACCAGGGGAATGGACTGCAACCAATTGCCTACCTCTGCAAGAAACTGCACGGGGCAGAACTCAACTACCCGATACACGACAAAGAGGCTCTTGCTATCATCATCGCCTTCAAAGCGTGGAGATGCTATCTCGAAGGACGAAGAACAACCGTCTACACCGACCACTGCAGCCTGAAATATTTGAAGACACAACCCAACCTTTCCAGGCGGCAGGTCCGGTGGATCGACTTCCTCGAGACACACTTCCACTACGACATCGTATACAAGCCCGGCCACAAGAACAAAGCAGACGCTCTCAGCCAGCCTGCACACGTTGCCGCGATTCAGGTCGAAGGGATGAATCCACTACTCAAGGGACTCTTCACACACGGGTACGCCATCGACCCCGAAATTTCCTTGGCAGAAAAGCGACATCTGCTACAGTGGGACAGTGACATCGCGTACCGGAAAGGATCAACAAAAATCTGGGTACCCAATTACCCTCCTTTGCGCCAGTTACTACTCGAAGAATACCACGACGTCCTG